GGAAAGAGAAAAACTGAGCACTGAGTGATGTCTTTGTCCTGCTACACTGGAGAATGGGTATGGGAAGGGCCCCTCCTCCCAAGATCCAAGTCCCACACGGCCTGTCTCTTCATTCCTCTCCAATTCATTTTTCAAGCTGTAGAAATCACAAGCCCTCTTAAATAAATAAACAAACAAACAAAAAAATAAATAAATAAAGGATACTTTTCTCACCATTCCTGCCACAGACCCACCTGCAAAGGAAAGAAGAGTGCTCAATTATGCACAGGACACACCTCAGTAACAGGAACTCCTTTTCCCCACAGCAGGAGCTGCCTCAGAAGCATAAATGCATGTTGTACAAGAGACAAATCCCCAGCTGGAGAGTAAAGCTTTCCCAGCAGGCAGGATGCAGGCACAGAGTAGAGCTACTGGCCTGCTGGACTCCTGGTGCTGTGCCATTCCTGCCTTCCTTTCAGGCAGCAAGGCCAGAGAGGAGTTACTAGCTAAAACAGTATGGTGTGCAGACACAATGTGAGCTGTGGCCAGAGCAGCCCTGAGGAGCAAAACCCCATCATGTCCCAAGCACAATGGGATAGAGCCTGGAGTCTGGTTCCCCTCAGCAAGCTCCATGACCCGCCAAGAAGGGCCCTGCTGTCCCCAGGCTTTGTGGCCTTATGGGGAACAGGCAGAAAGGCCTACTGTGAATTCTCCTGCTGTAGACCACCTCTCTTTGCCCATCACTGTTCCTTCCTGAAGGTGGGGGAAAAGGACCACAGCAAGAGTTACCACTGTTGGTACTACAGGATCTTGAAAGCAGAGGCATTTCAAACCAGGGCACAGATGTTCGAATCACTTGAGCAGGAACCTGGTACTTGACACAATATAATAAATATTCCCACCTAGCTCCTAGCAGCATGTCTTGTAAGTTAATTATCTACTCCTATTTCCATGAATCTCACTGCTTACAAGGACAAGAGCCACTTACCCATACTGTGACCCATCAGAGTGAACCGTCTCCACTGCAAGGCTAAGTGGCAACAGACAAAAACAGACAGTGCTGTGTTAGAAACCAGAGCAGCAGCATCTTCGTGCTTCTCCGTCAAGACAGGCCCCTTCTCCCATGAGGGCTTTTGCACTGCTTAATTTGTTTCCTCATCCAGAAATGAGGTGGCTAAGTAGGTCAGTTTTAAAGAAAAAGAGCATCCACCACCTCATTTCCTTGGCAGTTAAGCCATACACTCCAAAGCTCTCTCTGTATGGCGAACAAACTACAGCAAATTCCCATTCATTGCCAGACACGAGACTGGCAAGAAGCAACGGAGCTTGACTGGAAAGAGTCTGCTGGAAGAGAGAGACCTTGCCAGAGCACCCTGCTGCAGGGCATTCTGCAAGAGCCATGAGAACACAAAGCTAGGTACGCTGCCTATGACTATTCCAAGTGAAAGCTCTCTACACCATTTAGCACATCAGGCTCTTCAGTCCATTTGTGAGGCAGTCTGAGGCTGATGGGAAAACACTGCTTTGTCAGTACTGCCCATCTGAAGCACACCTCACTGAAAGATGTGTTTTACCCTCTGGCATGTCAAAAGAACTTCTAGAGGCCCTCCATATACTCAATGAGGGATACAAAACAGCACAGGCCAAAGCCTTCCCAAAGGTCAATATACAGATCGTCAGTTAGATCAGGAGGTATTAGAAGCCCAAGACACCTTTGTTTTCAGATTTCTTTGTATGATACCAAAGCAAGCAGTGAGCTGCAACCAGGGAGAACCAGAAGAGTCTCCAACTTCCACCTAAGACTGGCTAGAGATCACTGGCTGCTTACAAACAGTCAGTCTGACAAAATTTGTGTCCACCACTTCTCCAGTACTGCTTTTTAGTATAGAAACACTCGTTTTCTCATGCTTACTGTTCCTTTCTCTCACCAAATCATGAGAAAGAGGGATACAAAGCACCAGCTAGAAGCTGGTGAGAAGCAGAAGGAACTGACTCCTCTCCTGGCAGTAAATGCTGCCTGCTTGTTCCAAGGAGCCAGAGCAATATGGCACTCCCTGCACAAACATGCCCTCAAGGGTCCTGTCAACCACCCACCTGCTGCCACCCGCCGCACATCGCTCACATAGTCCAGAAAGTGGTAGGGGGAGCCTGCAGGTCGGTGGGACGATAAACCATGGCCAGAAAAATCCATTGCCACATAATAGCACTCTGAAAGGCAAAGAGGATCAGACATGCAGCCCTGCAACACAACAAGAACCATCCTGATGAGCCAGACCTACCTCTGGGGAGAAGTGGGATGAGCTTGTCAAAAGTGTTGGCGTTGTCCAACCAGCCATGCAAGCACAGCACAGGGTGTCCCTCCAAGGGTCCCCAGGCCTTGGCTGCCACATGGCCCCAGGGCACAGGGAACTTCAACTCTGAGAACATGCCCAAAATAGAGTGCTTGCAAGTGATGTCCCTGGAGAGCCACGTGCTCAGAGTAGGTCCCAGGGATCTTGTTAATGGCCTAGAGCTCTGAAAAAAAGTAATACAGGTCTTTAGTAACTCACCAGCCTCCTGTGGTCTTAATTAGCAGCTTGCTGATTGATAGCTCCCCACTCAACATCCCAAGCTGCTGTTTCTGCATGTCTGTTTGGGGAATCCTCTTCCCAGCACGTACTAGTGATGCTCCTAGGAAGAAACCAGCTTCTCTACACAGGAGGAGAAAGCCTCCTCTCTGTATCCCTGCAGCAGCTGCAACCCAACCAGTAGGCACAGGAGATCTGGCGAGAGGGAACCACGCAGAATTCCCCCAGCTAGCTACAGTCAGCCAGGCACCTGTCCTGGACCAAAAAGACAATTTCAGGAATAAGGATTCTCCCTCCAGTAACTAGACTGTTACCTCCTTCTCCTCTTTTACCTACGTGCTTCTCCCCTTTTACACCACCAGTCGGCACCTTCCAGAGACTAGCTGACTACATGCCACACAGCAGGTCACTGTCGCCACCCTCTGTGCGCCCCTCAGGACCAGGGGCCTTGCATGGGATGTGGGTCCATAATTTGCCAGGCAACTGCCTGAGCTCAAGCCTGTCTCATCACTGCCGATCTGCCTGCAATCACTGAGCTACACCTGACTCTTTCTCAACCCCAGGCTCCTGAGGGAACCCCCCAGTACTACCCAGCCTCTGGGTATCTTCCAGGGGTGGTTTGAGTATTTCCCCTCTACCCCCAAGCCCTTCTGACTGCTGGGGCCCTTTATGGACAGCCTGACCATCTCTCACGCCGTATCCCCTTTCCAGTGGCCTGTCTAAGCTCTCTGCTCCCTTCAGCAGCCCACTGAGACCTCACGGCAATTAAACCACTCTACAGCAAACCCCTCCGGAGCCCATGTCTCAGTAAGGCGAGGGCGGGCAGGGGCGGGCTGGGGGGGGAGGCCGCTGTTGGGGCCCCGAGAGCACCCAATGATCCCCACCAACTGCGCCAGGGGCCTCCCCTGCACCTGTCCCTCCTGACCCCGAGCCTCCCGCCGCCCAGCCCGGGTGCCGAGCCCTGCCTGCCAGTCACGGGGCTGTTCCTGACCCTGCCAGCCCCGGGGTGACTTCCTGGTGCGACCTGGG